TTTCTGCCACATTCCAATTACATTAGGTATGTCAGAATGAACAATAAGGACAAATCGAGAAAACCATGAGATGAAAGAAATGGGAAGGATGAAAAAGAATTAACAGCGATTCTCAAAAACATTAAACACCTAGCTAATTTATGTAAATAAGCCTATCAACTACGGATATTTACTGATATTTCTAAAGTAAAGACATCAAATAGGCATCAAACAGATGATGATAGTTGTCATCAATGTAAAAACAACAATCCGGATGTGTAAAAAAGGTGCGTGTAGGTTTAAGTCACACATAAAGAAACATTGATCCCTCTTAACAAGGTGATGGACTCAACTAAAGCATATAAAATGAACTAAAAATTTCAACACAAGACAGACTGTTTTCATTTGAAAACACAAAAGGAACAGTTTCTGCAGTTTAAAAAAATGGCACACAGCGGAAGTTCAAGTGGACATTGGCACAGACGAGATTGAGCATTACTTAACACAACTGCAACAATAATGGAATGCGTAAAGAAAAAATAATCAATGCACCTTCAATGAAGACAAGGACTCATTGCCCACAGAATATAGTGTTCCTTCCTTAAAAGGCTCCATTGTCATCGTTGATGGGGTTCCTACTTCAATTTGTTTTGTGGGAGAGATCCAAGGTGGACGGACCTTCATGTAGGACTTGGCCACATCTACAGGAGAACCAACTTCACTTCCAATCTGCATTAATCAATTCAGTATCATTAGCAACCATTTAGCAACAACATACTCACAACAAATTTCTTCGTAAATCTAGGCACAAAATTGACTTGCGGACGCAAAGAACATATTCTGAGAGATGAGATCAAAGGGAAAAAAATTACAATTGTATAAGTCTATAAGACATCACAATTCAAAAAAATAAAAAATATTGAAGCACAACATGATCAAGAAAAATTGAGAACACACAATTGTTCGGCAATATCACATAAAAAGAATTACTGACATTTTCTAGCACGATGGAGTTGAACCCACAGGTCCCATAGGCCAAGTCTGACACTGGGCTTGATCCCACTTTCTTCTCTGCAAGCCACATTTTTGCTTCCATAGCAGTTCTATTGTAGAAATCAACATTTTCTGTGCATGAAAGGAAAACTCGATCAGTGATCTAAAGAGTCTGTAATTGAATTACCCAGAAAGTTTTTGATAATCAATACCATTGCCAACTGTTTCCCCAGGAGGCACAGTGAGTAGACTTGTCTGCCCAGCTTCTATTGTGGAATAACCCACAACGCGAGAGTTGATCATTTTTATCAACTTATCACCCTCTTCCCTGATAAAGGTATAACACCAAGCGTTAGCTAGTACATGAAGTACTGAAGTTTGATCCCAAAATCATTAACAGGAGACCCGAAAAAGAAAATACAAGAAGTACAAGAAAAGTTTGTGCAACAATCTGAAATTAGTTGGCAATAATTTTAAATCAACAACCACGTATGTACTTATAGAAATAGGTCGCAAAAATCAGAACAGGGAAGAAGCTAAGATAGAAGAAAGAAAATACAAGAGAAAAGAGCAACAAACAGAAATAAAAAGGACACGACAAATATCACAGAAGGAACACATGTTTGCAATTTCTAGTAATTCCCAGAAATTAAAGAGCAATGACATATGCTTTTAAATTCACTTAATTACCTTGAGAACATCTCCTGCAAAATTAGCTGTTCAATTATATACTTGGTATCACTCTTCCTCAATCTAGAATGAGACCCCTGTCTGGATTCTATCACTTCTGACAAAGTCCCCTGTCATCAAGAAAAGTAAATACATGTTTAACTGCAATTGCTCAACTAATATGATTCAACAGCTGGAATTGAACTTTTTAAGCATTATTAATATTACATAGTTTATAACACATTTAAAGGACATATAACAGCATGTAAAGGAACCAAATGCCAATCAATCAAAGTCGTGTGCTGTAAATGTGTTTTAGCGAATGCACCTTACGGAGCAAACAATTCTGAGAACGGACAATTGCGCGCAGTGTCTGGTATAAGTTAGTGACATGAAGATCTCAGTGACCATCTAAATCATTACTTAAAAATACTGAGCAACATTTATCAGCAATTTGCAAAAAGAAGAATGCTAAAGAACAGTAGTAGCTGTTCTCAAATTCATCAGAGTGTAGATAGTACATCGATATCGTCAATATAACTTCCATCATCCTTTCTCTAAACTAAAATTCTAGCAGAAACTAAAGCCTGGTGCTATCATGTTGCAATGATAAACAAATTAGCTGGGACAAATTAGAAAGCAATTATTTAAATTAGCTTTTCTTTCATGGCGTCATTATGACTTTTGACTGAAGGTGGTCCATAGATCATACTAATTTAGAATAATAAATTTCTATCTAGAATTACAGAGAAAATGAATATAAATAAACAAATCAATGTAAAATCAGCAGAAAAATCACATAATATTCTATAAAATGGACTGAAGTTTATGCTTCTGCATAGTTGGAATCAGCTAATTAAAATGAATCTATCACTTAAGGCCAAGGCCTCACTCAAGTTGTAAGGCCAATGGGACTGGGTTCAAGCCTTGCTTGAAGCAATTGCATATTCAGGAGTTTTTTCCCATTCAACAATACGACTTTCTTCCTACACTTGTTTTTCATTTTCAAAATTGAATGTATAGGAACTTGTTTAAGTTGTTTCTTTTTCTTAAACCAAAACTGCTTCGATACTCCACTTCTAATTCCAAATTTCAGTCTCCCCATCTTGTACTGAAAACAAGGGAACAAATTATGATCATTAAAATCACCAAGAAACTGCAGACATGTTCACCCCTCTCAGATGGGACTCAAACTACCCACCCACCATTTCCAGGATGCTGAATCTTCCAGAGTGCCAGCCAAAGCACCGTCTAAGCCTTCAAAATCTAAATTCCTGTCCACCTTAATAATCCAGTACTCAATACGATACAAGGTTCTAAAAGAATAGAGAAAATTCGCTGGAGCACTTTTCATTCTGCACAATAAACCCAAACCTTCTTCTGCCTTCCCTGGCTCATCCACAGCATTTCTCCATGATTCTCATATTCTTATACAACTTTGGTGTCAAACTTAATAGAGAGAGCTCCATGCTTATCCGTTATTATACACTGTGCATGCCAAGAAAATGATAAGAAATGACAGATTCACATAGGCCAAACAAACTTTTGTGCAAATTTTGGGTCCACAGCTGAGGATATTTGACTGTGTAGATAAAAGGGCTCATCCCTCATCCGAATACTCATTTTTCTTTCCTCTTCCAGGAGAAGTAACCATAGAGGAGAAACATCATATCACTCGACCGTACAAACAAATTTAAGGTTTACAAGTCACTATTTCGCATTATCACCATTGAATCATAAAGTTAAAATACGAACAGAATACCTTGTTCAATTCATTAATACCATCAGAAGGGACACTGTAATCATTGTCATTCTCAACATCATCTTCTGCAATTTAAAAATGAAATAAAATAAAGAAAGTATAAGAAAGAAATGAAAGAACAAAGGACAGATGGAAAAAGAACTACAGTGTGACAGATGTGAGAGAACCAGATGTGCGGGGGTTAAGGAAGGAATAAACAGTAACCGACAGAATCACTTCCCGATGTGTGGCATTCAATAGATATCAATCAATATAAACACAAATCAAATACCATTTACTATGCCTTACTGTCATGTGTACAACACGGAGAATAGTGAGTCATGTATTATAGTTAAAAGTCAATATCTAATAAAATAAGCATAATTACAGGGGTGATTCGATCTCTTGATCAGAAATTGTTGTGTTATACATTTCCACATTCAGGATAAAATAATTTTCCTGGACAGAATCATAATATAGAGGAAGCACAGGTGGTACCACCATCACTTTTAATAATGGAAACTTGGCATAATTTCTGAAAAGAATAGCAATATTTCAGACTATGAATTTGCCCATCAAATATATGTACAGTGAAGGTTCTAAAAGAAAATTACAGTTCACTTTTCTAAAATTGGACTTGAAAATATCCACCTGAACGCCCATGAAATTTCAGATGGCTAAACCAAAATCACAGGACATCAGCCTTTTCTCCCAGCAAAGTTCAATTTGATTTGTCATCATATGGCGGCTAGCTATATTTATAAAGTTGTTGTAAACTAGGTTCTGGATTCAAGCGTTATCAAATTAAAAATCATTTGCAACCTCTCACATTACTAGTCAGGGTTGCCTTGTGTTGTCATATTTCTCAGAAGCTGCTTTGCAAGTGTCTTTGATGTTCAAGGGTCGATATTTTACATTGATCAAAAAGCATCACTCATTACACGCACACACACAAGATCACACATTTTCACCAATGCATCAAGATGGAATATTCCTTTCTTAATTTTGAATTTTTGCCAACACAACAAAACTTCTTTTTTACTTCTTAGTTTACCTTGATTTTTAATAGTTCTACAAGCCAACATCTTAAACGCCCCAGCTTATCTTTATCTTTGAAGTGAATTCACAACACCATCATCGCAAACAATCAAAAGAGGTGGTATAATAAAAAGATTTCTTCTCCGTTAACCATTTTTGTGACTGTTTTCCCTTTGTTACCTGTTTAATCAGAAACTCCTTTAAACGAAACCAAATACAATTTTCATTTCAAATAACCTTTTACTACACTGAAGGGCAACCCATACACAAGAGTTATACACGTAGCTATATATACATCCCAAAAATTCATCCATGAATCTATACAAGTTGGGATAGAGTGATTTCCTAAAAGAACAATACTCTTCTTCCATATTAGACCGTATATGCGTTTGAAATGGTCTAGTTTTGTTCCTGCTAAATCATCCAGAAAATGAATGACGAAACATTCTATAGGACTAATAATTAACTCCACAAAATGTTATTGCTTTTCAACCACCACAAATAAAAAAGGAAGAGAAAAAGAAACAGAGACAAGAAAAAGAAAATTGAATAAGCTCTTCTGCCAAAAACTCATGTTTTCCAATTTTATCCTTTGTCTCTCTCATTCTATCATTTACCAATAAAATTGACAAAAAATAAAAATAAAAAATAAATAAAAAAATAAAAAATTTGACAAATGAGAAACTTTTTGCCATGGTTCAACTTTCCATTGATGTGTTGACGTGTATAGCACAATATTTATCTTTTCTATTTTATTTTTTATTATTTTTTTTAATGAGGGAATGTTTCTTGTGTGCCACTATAGTACAATCACTTACTATATATGGCAGAATGACAAGTATCAGTTAATTCCAATGCAGCAATTTCAAAGCAAGACAATATCACATAACATCTTTTACATCAGACTTCTCAAGATAGCTTAAAAGCCAGCATTGTCAAATGTGATACTGCCAAGAAAGCTGCATTATTTGAAGAAGCACGGGGAAACATGCTGTAAGAGGTGCTCTATATTATATTTTGACGTTCTCACAACCTCGTTCTCGCTCTTCAATTGAGTTAAACAAATATATCCTCGTTATGAAATTTGAATTCAAAAGTGTAGCGCGGATATCAAAACATACTGAAAAGTAATTCACAATACACTAAACTACACCGAAAACAACTAAACACGCTCAAAAGAAAAATACGCAAAAGAAAATCCCAAAAAACTGGATAAAAGGAAAAGCGACGATAGGGTACCAAAATCGGACTCATCATCATCTTCAGAAGACGAATAATCAGAATAGAGCACAGAAGTAATAATTTTCCCAGCACCAGAAGCAATAGCACGTGCAGATGGTATAATTACGCCAGAAAACCAATTAGGGCTTCTGGCAGGAGGAGGAGGAGGCGACGGACGGTCGTAGGGTGTGACAGCGAGCCGCGTCTTCCGTCGGTTGGTTACTACTTTTCCACCGGCGCCGAATTGGGATTCCGACACGGATGTCATTGGGAATGGAATTAGGAGAGTTGACGTTGCTTCGGGGGAGATTTGAAAGGGCCGTACATATGGTCATAATAAAGGAATATATTTGGAAATTCATGTTAAAAGCAAAGTGAAATAACGCATTTTCCGAGGAAAGCGTGAATTTAATTTAAGATTAGCTTACACCTGAAAAACGAAAAAATTCTGACTTGTTTATGCTCTATTTTTAACGAGGTTTCAAGAGAAAATATATTTTAAAATGGTGATTTGTTTGGAGAGTTTGTGATAGAAAAGAAAAAAAAATTTATATTTACGTATAATATTATTTTATTACAAAATATTAATTGAAAAGAAAAAGAAAAAAAAATGTATTAAATTAAAATGGAGCCCAAATAGGGGTTTAAGATTTTGTCCTTGCCTCAAACTTCTATGTGGTTATTGATCCTCGATTTTATTTTCAAAAGTGAAGTTATTAGAACTCAGATGATCGAAATTAACTATAACGAGATTAAGCGCCTATTTGAGCCCCATTTTTGGTTAAAAATACATTTTGAAATAATAGATTAACGAAAAATGTGCATTCAAAAAATAAGGAAAATTTTATATTTGTGTGTAATATTATTTTATGAGTAATGATATACATAATCGCTCACTATTTCAATCGTCCTATGTGTCATACATATGACACGATGTTATATGATGCATTAATGTGATAGTTTTTTTTTTTTTTTACTCCCGCTGGGACGATTGCCACAGTGAACGACTGCGAATAGCATTATTCTTATTTTATTGAAAAATGTGCTATTGAAAAAAATAGAGAAAATTATATTTTGAAAATAACGGAGATCAAACAAATGAGTAATTGAGGAGTTGAAGTTACTAAATTTCGAGGAGTCAGTATTAATTTATGCCGAATTGTTCCATATATAGTTCCTCAGACCACATTTTCTAAATTAACCGGAGCCAATCTCGATAATATGAAGTGGTGAGTTGGTTATTAGTTAATACTATGAAGCTGGTCCTTTTTTAATCCTAACCTTAAAAAATCGACAAGACACACACTAAGCATAGCAATAATATTAAGCCCTTGTTTGAGCCCTATTTTTTCAAAATTCTTTTCTTCAGAACTTATTTTCAATCACACATTATTCTATAAAATAATTATACACGTATTTCAAAAAAAATTCTTACTTTTAATCACACATTCTCCAAAAAAAAAAAAAACTATTATTCCATAATACATTTTATTCCAAAAATGATAATCAAACGGGGGGGTAAATGGTTAATTGAATTTTTATTCAACCCTATAGAATTAAGAATTAAAATTGCTAATTTTGATTTTGAATACAATTTTCAGTTGACTTTGGAAAAATGTCAAGTAATACGACAGATCTACTCTCCAATATTTAGGTTGCATGATTTTGTTTGTTTTCATTCAAACTTATATATTTAAACAAATTAAAGGCACCTCATTTCGAGTTGATTGCACAGTTTATAAATATCAAATGTAACATATTGTTCATGTTATAACATTATGTTAAAAAATTTCACTCACCATCCCCAACCTATTGATAAATTAAGATTTAGCTTCTCGCTAAATTATTTCGGTTCATGGGTATAAGAGGTGTCTTTAATTTGTTTGTTTGAATGTTTTTATTTTTAAGTCAAAATTCCCGCTCAAATTGGTTCCATAAAGTAGCTTAATCAAATAAGGAAACAACCACGTTTGCCAATTTAATACCATTCAATCGCTTCCATTTAAGGACTACGATCGCACAACAAACAATTATTATTCCTTGTCTAGTTCAGTAATACCACAACTTTTATCAACATTACAATCCCACATTTCATCGGCCTGATCAAAATCTAATAAAAAAAATATTTTTTGACCATATCAAATAGGGACTTGGAGTTGATCATGAACGTTAAACCACTTTGGCAAAAGGGATTGAAAAATACTTGTTGAACATCTCCGAATATGTTCATGAACCTTCAACCACCTCAACAAAAGGTATTGAAAAATACTCGTATAATCCTTTACATAATTTTTTTTATAGATTGATGAGGTTTCAAAATGAAAGTTGGGAAATTATTATTTTTATTTAGTTGATAAGGTTTTGACAAAATCAAATCTCATCATATAATTCGTTGGTTAACGAATCTATAAGTTGTGATGTACATATAGCACAACCGAAACCGAAAGCATAACGGATTAAATGTAGAATTTGAGTTCATGAAATGAAGCCGTTATATCATACAAATCTTCACAAAGTTCCCAGAACTTGGACGTTTATCGAGGATGTAAAACAAAAAAAAAAGCAGAAGAGAAGAAAGATATTGATATGTACATGGGTACTTCAAACATTCCCCAACATCTAGTCCACATTCAACTAAACTAAGATCGTTGAGAGGGAGATGCAGAAACCTTGCAGATGGGACACCAATTCTTCAGCCGCAACCATTGTACGACACATGCCATGTGATACCCGTGCTGGCATCCCAAAGTACCAATTTCATTACCAAATTCGTACTCCTCCTGCAAAACATGAATATGTTATGTTGTCTTCTACACCAAAAATGGATGGAAATATTTGACATTACGTGTATTGAGCTCAGCAACAGGTTGCCAACGTAGGGTTAATTTCGAAGGAAGCTTAAAAAACGATCTTTTATTCTGCTTATTAGTTTATGAATTGGTCTTGATTAATCGACATACACGCAACCGTTTTCACGATTAGTTCGTTTATCTATCGAGTAAATCTTAAATATGCCTTAACAAGCCATTCTCAGCAAATGTCAGGCAGTACTGGTTGGATTACATCCCAACAAATTTCAAAGCGCAAAGCTTGAATGGATCTGCATCTTGGCTCAAGAATTTGTCCTTGTGAATTTATATAAAAAAAAAAAAAAAAAAAAAAATTGGACAACAACATTCCAAAATATTAAGCTCCACAAAAATTTCAAATCCAATCTAGGCACCACAGACATGCTATGGAGATACGACAAGGATAATACCAAAATCAGCTCAATGGAATTCAAGGCTCAATTGATGTAATTTTTTTTTTTTAAATATGGAGATCCATAAGGAAAATAAGCTTTGACATGATCTACAGTTATCAAAGATTATCTTAGCGATAAAACTAGTAACTAAGATCCAAGATACTGTGTTCTACAGGCTAGCTCAACGTCAAGAAATAAGTGAAGGACAAACCAAAATGCAACTAAAGGGGCTGGAACCCAAGTTATAGAATGGAAGTTGCTTTCTTTTCAAGAGAAAGATGATGTCACATTTAAATTATTTCAAGGTTTTTTTTTTTTTTTTTTTTTTTTCCTTTTTTCTATTTTTTTTACCTCTTACTAAGTATTTATGTAGAAGTTTTTCATGATCTATTCTTTTTTCATTTTTTTCTATTAATTTGGAGTGAGAGAGTGGGTGGGGTTGTTGGAAAAGAGAGGGTGCAGAAAATCAAACTAAAAATAATGATCAGTGTAAAATTCCGAAGACAAAATAAAAGGACCTGACAAATACAGCACTTAGTGTCATTGTCATCCTCCAAAGATCCCGTGTCCCGTACTTCAGAAGAGATAGCCTGATAGCTGCTTTTCCTAAGGCATTTTGACAATTCCTCTTCAGAGAGTGCAGTGCTAACGGTACCTATCCTCTCCTCCAAAGCTAATAATTCCTGTTAAAGATATCATAGAACACCGAGGGTCATGATATCATTATAAAAAAAATCAAATAACATGAACTTAAGACCCAATTACATTAATCCATAATTTTAGCAGGATTTAGATCAGAATCAATTAACTTTGCAGTGTTCATAAGGCTAACAAATTTAGGATCAACTCCTCACAAACAAACCTCATAGGACATGTTGTCAATGTCCAGTCTCATGTCTCTATGTTGGTCATAATAATGGCTAAGCCCACTGAGTAAACTAATCCCCAAGGCAGATACATGCTGCAGAGAGAGACAACAAATCAATTATGAATTCCAACACACATAAGTTGCAAGTAAATAAAGATTGAATACCTCACTATTCAGGTCTTCATCTTGTTCAAGTCTTCCAATTGCTAACAATAACTGTCCAGAGAGAAAAAAATACAATACCTCACCATCTAGTAGGAAAATCTAATCAAATACAGTGGCATCATTAATTCTCACTACCAATACAAGAGGAAAAAAATTCGTGGGAATATTATTTACTACAGGAGCAATACCTCAGCAATTCCACTGATATTAAGCCGCTGCAATGTCATACGACCCATTAAATGGGTAATGCCCAATTCTACAGGCATTACACTGGAGAGATTATTGCCATCACTACTTGAAAGACTATATGAACTTGAACCAATTGAAGGAACATTTGTAGAGAAGTGTTGAGAGGAATTGTGACCACCAGCATCAACTGGTAGCCCAGGCAGAGGTAACTCAGAGATCCTGACCACCGGTTCTCTTAATGAGGAACTGTTTTCATTATGTTGATTAGAACGTCTCGGTGTTGTGTTTATATTTGTAAACCTCCGAGCGCTGACAGATGCATCTCCATTTCCCCCCTCTCTACGAGCCCAACTTCTGTTGGTTCTTGGATTAGATATGGAGATACCACTAGTTGACGGGGCGAATGAAGCTGCAGTTGTTTGGTTCAATCCAGGAGATGAAATGCTTTTCCCTCGTGGATTTCCTTTTTTCACTATATCCTTCGTATTAGGCTTGGAATCTAAGGTTGAACAACTTTGTGGAATGACATCCGATACTGCATTACACTTTAGACTTCTCAAACCATACCTGCTCCTAATAATAGAGTTCCTTGCCATAAGGCCTGAGCTTTCAGAAACTGGTAGAATAGAATCTAGCTGATTATTTTCGCTGCATGACCCAGAATTACGATTAGATAATTTTCTTGATCTAATAGTTGATGTTACTCTAGAACTCCCTGCATCCATCATCGTACCCTTTCTAGTCTTGGCATCTCTAGATTCTGAGTGATGTGCTGTTCGAGTTCTACTTGGTGAAGGCATAGGGTCCAGAGTCTCACCTGAAGCACTGCTTTCCGATGGATTAATATCTAATTGAGAAGAGAACTTTCTCTTAGAATCGGGACCTGGTTTTTTGGAATTGGTCGCGACAGGGCACGTCCTAGGGGGATTTTCAATTATTTTCTTGTCATTTGAAGAATGAACTGATGGCCTCAAACATTTAGCTTTAACAGAGCTTCCATTTTCAGTAATCTGAGTATACTTAATTCTGCCACTGCATCCCAGTCGAAGGCAGAATTCAGTGCTCTGATCTGTACTATTAGCAATATCTTTCAAAGCAATGCCAGACCCTTTTTTGGGGACAACCCCACGAGCAGTTATTTTACCTGAATATCCGTCCATGTAATGTTGTATTAACCCTTTATTCCTGGTAATAACATATACACCAAACACAAACCCCCAATTAGTTTATAATATTAAGCAGACTTTTTTTGTTTTTTTTTGATAGGTATATAATATTAAGCAGAAAAACACAAAAAAATCTTAAACAAGAGAGAGATTGATGGTCTCAAAACTAATTATATACAATTGCACTAGTAACAGAGACAAACAATTAGCCTAATATGGAAGAGAGAATGAGGTGTAGAAGCACCAATATAAAAGGAAGAAAGTTCAATGATACGAGCAACAATTTCAGCCGGTGGGTTGAAATAAAAAGAATGATAAATAGTGTAAGCAGTATAAAAATTTGAAGCGCCATATACAAGTATATATCTGACACGTGTAAAACCAACAGATACAACATCTGTCCATACATGTTTCGTTACGGACTGTGAACATGAGTAACATGTGAAGGGATAGGGCTCAATTTACGCACTCCATGATACAGACTCACAAGTCAACAAGCAAGAAGTGATACATTGTAGAAGCCATGTCGAAAATTCAACTTCTCTCTAAGACCACTATATATGTGGGGAAAAAAAATATCAACAAGGCATTAATGATAGAATCTATTACCTCTATCCTTCAGAATATACTACAATATGGCCTATAGTTCACAGTTATAGCCTAAATGAATGATCATGCAGCGCACAGGAGAAACCAAGATGAAATATGACAAAAATAAAGAAAGAAGAGACTTACATGATCAAAGTTCACATCCCCAGAATTTTCCAGTCTCATTGAGGGGTGGATTTTCTTTTGCTTTTTATTAAGCAAAAATATAATTTTATTTTAGTTTGTTTGATTGCTTGACATTTTCTATTCCTAAAGAAACACGTTTATCACAATCAAGCCACCGACTAGTTCAAGTAAAGGTTACACTTTACTCTCTTCAGCAAGAATCAAACACATATTGGATTAAACCAAAGGAAAATTCATATCATATAAAAGAACTAAAACATCTAATTTCAGGGTTCACAAATATTGAATAATATTGAATTGAATGTTGAGAAAGAAAGTAATCTTCGATAATAAGAGAAAAAACACGAGGTGGTCATTAAACAACCCCGAGATATTACATGGAAATCATAGATATTATCCCTGAAAAGAATTCAAAAACTCGATATATAAATTAAAATTCAAGAAGGGCCAATCAAGAACACCCCCCCCCCCCCCCCCCAAAAAAAGAAAAAAAAAAAAGGAATTTATTAGAAAACCCAACTTTTTGTCAGGGAAAAAACGATCGAAAAAATGAATCAACTTTTTGTTAATTTATTTTACCTGAATAAAACTGAAGAAAGCTGTAATTAGTGCATGGTTGGATTGGAATGGAAGTTTAGCCTTATAGAGAAGAAAAGAGACGTGTACAAAACCATTCGTAGTGTAAAGAGATCCGACTGTAATATGAAACAACAGATTTTTAGGTAGAAAAGAAGACTACATCGAACCATAAAATGAAGAAGAAATCCGCGGCGCAACAAACTGATGCTGAATTGCCCTCTTGCCGATTGAGTTGATGTGCGGTTTGTGGGGTTTTCTTGGTTTGGACGGTCAATCATCGACGGATTTTGGGTGGTCCTAATGACATTGTTCAGGGCCCATACCACCACTTCTATACTTTGCGACAGCTGCCATTTGTGCAGTGAGAATTGTAATGGCAAATAAGCTCGATTTATAGGAAGATATGATGGTGCTTGCAATGGACAATATTAAATAGAATTATTGGAGCTCCGAGCATAATTCAGTGGTTTAAAAGATAGGAGTGAGGTTATTTCACGTCTTGTTGGTAGTCATAGTGTGAGGGTTCAATTCCTGAAATATGAAATTTGACTCCTTGTAGACGCAGTAGACAAATAGCTCTTATTCCTTAGCCTGTTAGGACAGATCTCGCGATTTATTTTCCTCATAAAGCTTTAGGGTCGAGGTGGTAGAGGTTCTCAAGGTTGAGGTTCAACATTTTTTTAGAATTATAGGATAACACAATTTTACGAGCCGTTTGATTGTCATTTTAAAAAGAATGAGAATGAAAAATATAGTCATTAGGATTCATACAAGATATAGAAAGTCAAATATAATTGCTTGATGTGATGGATAATAATAATATTTTTCATTTTTTATTATTATTATTATTTTTTTTACATTTCATCAATTATCTTATTCAATCTTGTATAATATTTAGAAATCTTCAATGATGCACCGAGAGACATATTCCAGTAATGCAAAGGATAAGGATAAGATATATTTAACTTTGCTGGCAGCTGCAGTATGAGGGTTCGATTCTTGAAATATGGATTGAAACTCTTTGTGAACAATAATATATAAGTAGTTCTTGTTCCCTAACCTATTGAGACACATTTCGCGATTAACCTCTCTTACGATATTTCAGGGGTGGAGCGGTGGGGGACCTTAAGGTTAAGATTCAACCTTTTTTTAGAATACTTCAATAATAAGATCCTTTTTGGGCATTGTACAATAAATAGCATATTGGTAGTTGTTCAGAACAAAAGAGATCTTTTCTTTACTCTCTTTTTCACTCCCTTTAAAACAAAAACAATTTATTTCTCATGATCATCACAATACATTCAAATAGTAAAATATTTTACATCTAAACTCAAAATATTTCCTTATTTTTTAACCGTACAATTTAAAAAAAAAAATCGTTATTCAAAACATCACATTTACACAATAATGACCATCAAATATGGACTTAATTACGCTGAATCAATTTAAAGATGACTAAAAAACACTAAAAATGAAAACTATATGAAGCTAATGTAGAATTCTCGATTTTTCACTACTAGGCTAGAAATATCTCTACCTTATAACTTTCAAAACGTGCAAACGACGTACAACCTAGACAGAAAAATACAATTATTAGCCACGTGATCTACAATTGAACTAAAAACTTGGGAATTAAAATTACTAAAAATGACTCTAATCACTCAATAAGATCAAAATAGTTAATTGACATGAATATGTTCCCCTTGGAATGCCCATGTACAGTACATTATCAAAACCTCTAGGAGAGAATGCTAAAAGTGGACATCTATAATTGGGAGTTAATTGTGCCCACAAAAACATAGAACTAACCTCTATGAATTTAAATATTATTATTTGCTTACGTCCTGAGGATGGAACCAATTGCCAAACCCCACCACTAACCTCAAATTGGAACAATTGACTGCCTCCTAACACATTCATTCCTGTCCTTTTTTCAAGTCATTATCATTTCTTTTATTTTCTTTACTTTTTTGGGTATACCAAATAAAAAATATTTATTAATTGGATTGGAGTAGGTAGTCTTAATTATTTGTGTATTATAATTGACCAGTTTAATTTGTTTGGTCAAATAATATAAACATTATTAATTTTGTGTTCAAAGTCATGGGTCTTGTGACTAGGAGTCATGTGTATATTTGTATTACGTAAAATCCTATCTTAGTCCGTGGAGGAAATGACAATCGAAAGGTTCGAAATAGGGACTCATCCTCTATCTGTGCCTCGTTAAGGATTCGCAATTCTCATTTAACCTTTTATTTATTTTTTATTTTGTTGTCTATGAATATGGCTTTTAATATAAAAGTGATGCACCCTTTTAAATTTTCTTTGTTAACTATTTTGTTTTATTTAAAAAAAAAAAAAAAAACACTTAAACAAGATGGGGACCATGATCTCATACCCGACCTTAGCCCGTCACCATTCAGGGTTGATTTCTTAACCTTGACCCAACCTCTATATCCGATTAAGTCAAAGATTTTCCATCCCATTTTCATTCCTAATTTCATGGAAGATCTAGGTTTAAAGCTTAAAATACATTATAAATGGTTGATTTTTAAAAATTATTTTATAGTTTTATTCGCATTTCAATAAGTTGAAATTCACGAGTGAAACACACGGGGCTTGATTCCGGAGGTTGTACCAAAGCATAATATGTTTAAACCCTTTCACGGGCACCCTTCGTTGACCAAAGTTTATTATTAAAGACCTCACTCCATGCAATTGATACTTGAAAATTTGGGAGGTGGATAGCTCATATAGGAGCAAATGAAATGTAGGGTGGCGAAAGCGGTAAACTCTCATTAATTTCAAAGAAAAATTGCAATATGATGGCCTTTTAGTTTTTGTCGATTCTTATGAATGCTAGAAATTTAGATATTAAAATCTCTTTGATTCGTGCACGAATATGGAAAATTTTGACTCGTTAATTTTAACTTTCAAATGTAAGAGAATTGAAAGTTTTGAAAAAAAAAAATAATAATAATCTCGACCATTACAACCCTTGCGTAAGACAATAACTAAAATCTAGATAAAAACTAAAATTTACATAAAGACTCAATCTAGATAAAGATTAAAATTAAAGATAATAACTAAAATTAAGATGGAAGACTCGATCTTTATCATTATCCTCCGATTGAAAAAGATTTGTCCTCGAATCTTGTATTTTGTTCTTCATCTAATTCCTCTTGATAATGACAATCTATTTTATAGCTTTATGAAGTACTCATAAATTACATCGTCCAAGTTCATTAATAGTTGCATATTATCGTGACATGATAGCAATTTCATGCTCGATCACGGATCGACCATATAATTTTTAATATGAAAATTGGAATATGTATTCCAAAATTCAGGATATAGTTGCCACCTCCTTCAAAAATTTGTCATGGCGTGTAGACACGTCATCGACCAACAACATGGATTCTTGACATTTATAATTGTCTTATTGAATTTCTTGGACAGTTCTTCGAAGATTTCGGCATGTAACTCGTTGCAAGGAACAGGAACATTATTGGATTTGCCATTATCCAAATTGAAAAATTCTTCAATCTTTTCATCAAAAATCGGAGGTCCATCGTAATAGTCATTATTCAAATATACAAATTCTTCAATTTCTTTGTCGAAGATTTGGGATCGTCATAATTGAAATCCAAAAATTCTTTCACCTCTGAATTGTTGAAAGGAGTAAAAATGGTTTCGTTTCAAAATAGAACTTCTGCCATTGAATTTCACTAACACAAGCTCGTGTCCATCAGGAACGAGCCTCACTCTGAAACCTATTGATGTAGGGCGATGAAAGTATAGAAACGATGAACTATTACGTTATCGAAGTTCACTTGTTAAATTCTGTTGATTCCTACGAATATCAAAAAAAAAAAAAAAAAAAAGGCTCTTTGATATACACATAAATATAGAGTATCTGGACTAGTTGATTTTAAATATCAAATACTAAGAATTAAGAAAAAAAAATTAGCCCCTTTTGCAAGTAAATACTAAATATACCATCTAATCATGTCATGCATGCTCCGAAAGTTGAATTATAGCCGATTTTAAATAAGATATGTTTAGATTTTGTAACCTGGCATATTTACTTGAAAAATATAAGGTATATTAGACAAGAATTTGTCTAGTGGTACATAATGGGGTGTATCGAATGGTGTACACCCTATTCACATGGGTGTGAGACCCATGTGAAAGAAATGATATTTTATTCGAGTGGGTCCCTCGTCCATATGAGTGGGATGTACACCATTAGGTACACCTCGATGTACAACTAGAAACATCATATTAGACAATTGTAAATTTTTTATCTTTGCATAGGATTGAGACATTAAATTTTCCAAAAAGCTAATAGCGTGATTAATACTGGAAGTAAATTGAAGTTGATTGACATATTCAAAATTATTTTTACATTCACATGTACATCTCGATGAATTTAAATTCAAATTCAAATTCTACTTCAATAAAAAGATCTAAAAAATTTTGGGTGCGAGTTAGTTGATAGCCTTTTGTCTCTTGTGAGAGTCCCACATACATATGTATAAAAAAAAAATATAAATCTACATCTTTTTTCCCCTTTTTTTATTTTCTTATTTTTACGTTTTCTAGCGAAAAATGCACTTCGTTTTTCCTTTACATTTTTTCATTGAAGAGATTTTCGATCACTTTAGATATTTAAATCACAATTTAAGCTCCTATTTGGGGCTCATTTTTTATACAAGAAAATGCATTATTGGAGCTATAATTCAAAGCATTATTGGAGATGCTTTTAACTTAAAAAAAATGCATTCCCACTTTAACGAGTACAAGGTTGTTCTAAATATTATCAAATCAGCTTAGAAACGGTGTCGTTCAATACATAAACCCATAACCAATTTGCCCTAATAAAAAGGACAGAAAATCGAAGAAATTCAAGAGCGCACAACCTTTGTGAGTTAGCGGCGGTGAGTGACTTGTGATTAAGCCTGGAACGGAAGCGGGCCCTTTTGGGAAATTTTCTCTGATGCATCTTTTGCGCTGATTCAGGTTTTCCGGTGCAGCAAATGAGTGTTATCGATGATGGGACGACTCGTAAAATTCTAACCGAATGTAGGAATTGTAGCAGGTTCTGCCGCATTTTTGCAGCTTTGTTGTGCATCAAGAAGCCTCCATTAATGGTGAAAATGCAATGTGGTCGGAGTGCTGGTGTGTGGATAATGTGGGATGCTGGAGCATCAACCAAGGTTCTCAATTTTTACAGTGAAACAACGATAATAGTTTCATTTTGGCCGTTCAACTTTTCTTTTATTCCAAGTTAGTGCGGCTTGCACAAGAAGGCTCGTGCTTGTCGGCTTCTGTGCAAGCCAGCTTACTAACAACTCGCGAGGTGACTCGTCATAAGGGGAGTGAAGTAAAATAAATACAAGATGCCAGTGGCTCGCTCCACCAAGAGGTGAGTTGTGCAGCTCACACAAATTGGCTCATGCTTATCGATTTGCTCACAAGCCAGCTTACTAAGGGGAGTAGAGTGCAATTTACAGTTAAAAAAAATTTACATGATGCTAGGCGAGTTATGCGACTTGTACAAGTTGGCTCTTTGTTTGGAAGTTCGCCTGCGAGCCAGCTTACTAACAGCTCGCCTTGTCACAAGGGTAGTGAAGTGCAGTTAAAAAAATTTACAAGACGATATCGGCTCGCTCCACCTAGGGGTGAGCTTATTTCACGAAGCAAAATTCAGTAAACAAATTAAAATTTCGTTTACCAAAGTGATGTGGTGCTCAAATATTTTCAAAGAAATAATAGAAAGTAGAATTTAAAAAAAAAAAAAAATAATAATAATAATAAAATAAAATAAAAAAACCCTCTTCCCTCTCAAATCATCTCCAATCGACGGTTTACATTACCAGTCAACCATCTCTAAGTACTTCTCTCAACCTCTGCAATCTTTTGGATAAATATTTATTTGGACAACCGTACTCATTGCAACAAGAAAACGGGGTGTCAACTCCAGAGAAGTCTTCTTTAACCCCATTCAAAACAATTCAAGAAACTTATATCAACTGATGAAACTATGATAAAAATATAAGGAATAACGTTAACTGTAACCATAAAAAGACGCAGGATTTTATACTGCAGCTTATCTAAAATGAATCAATGAGTGAAATATGTGAAAGACGAATAACTTTAACTGTAAAGTTCCTCTACAGATCTGAATCAACGGCTGAAATAAGAATCGACTCATCATACAATTGTGCTTCATGTGCAGAATGCCTCAGTAAAGCCTTGAAAGTTGAGACAGTTCAGTTTAGGTAACTAACCTCAAAAATCAACCAAGTGCTGCCTCCATTATTTGAATCCGGACAGGACACATGCTGGTTATCAGGTCCTCCCAGAGCCAATATATACAGAACATAGTAAATCATCACATGGGAAAGCAATTCACAAGTGTTTCCTTTCAGGCTAACCGTGCAAATTTAGTTACATAGAGAAATCATTCACTTCACGTTAGGAGAAGTTTGAGGCTGCTCTGCAACGCCGTTGTTAAATTTCCCACTCGACTGTCTCACTCTTAAACTGCCTTGTTTCACTGGCTTCGGCTGAAAAAGAGAGTTAAATATTTTCTCCAATGACTGAGCTGTATACTTTGCATATTTGCTTGCACTTGGGTCTTGTTCAACCAATGGCCCATAATTTTGCATGTAACTACGGTAAACAGGCACAATAGTCTGAATTATAACCTGGCGTGTTTTCTCCCGCAGGGTCCTCCCAGAGCCAATATATACAGAACATAGTAAATCATCACATGGGAAAGCAATTCACAAGTGTTTCCTTTGAGGCTAACCGTGCAAATTTAGTTACATAGAGAAATCATTCACTTCACATTAGGAGAAGTTTGAGGCTGCTCTGCAACGCCGTTGTTAAATTTCCCACTCGACTGTCTCACTCTTAAACTGCCTTGTTTCACTGGCTTCGGCTGAAAAAGAGAGTTAAATATTTTCTCCAATGACTGAGCTGTATACTTTGCATATTTGCTTGCACTTGGGTCTTGTTCAACCAATGGCCCATAATTTTGCATGTAACTACGGTAAACAGGCACAATAGTCTGAATTATAACCTGGCGTGTTTTCTCCCGCAGATCTTTCTCCAAAATAACCCAGTTGGACTGCTTCCGATGCATGTCATCAAAAGCTTCATTAAAAGATTTTAATCTCTTTTTTACAAGATCACGGGCAGTTGCACGCCCTCCAGAGAACAAAATCAGACCTTCCCGACTTAAAAGGGCAGGAAGTTTGCCCCAGCTCTCTCTCAAGTAAAGAGAAGAATAGTCGTCCTTATACCGTTCGTGTTCTCTCAACCAAGAGTCACCCAATAAGGTTCCAATCTTCGTGCCTTTCAGATGCTTGTATAGATGCCAGTGAGTGTTCATCGAGAATATATAGGACAAAACAGCATCTTCATAAGCCCTTGACCATGTCTCCACATTCAGCTCGATGGATTTAACTAAATTCAGAAGTTCATTGATAAGGATTCCTTCTTGGAATTTTTCATGCTTCCAACTTCTTTCAATAACCAGAACTTGAGTAAGGATCGGCTTGTAGTCATCCCCAAGCAAGTTATTACAGTAATCGGTAATGAAAGTCACTACTCTTGGAATACTACCATCCGGAGGAGGTGGAGTATGCCTTTGCAATTCAACTTGAACCGAAAGCTCCCAAAAAATTTCACAAGCCCCTTGAATCAATCTCTTGATGAGATCTCTTGTCCAATTTTGGATCTCAGCACAGGCTGCTCCACCAAATAGGCGGTTAAAATCCAATCTTAGCTTACTTAAGGCTGCGAAGATATCCAATAGCTTCAATAGCTTGATAGGATCCTTTTTACTTTCTGTTACAGTTTTCCCAAATTGCAAGAATGCAAGAATACCTGCCTGGGCAGCTATATCAGCAAAACAGCTCTTCCAAACATCCATCCCCATTCTCTCAAACACGTCATTACAAAGCTTGTACTCAGCCTCAAGCAGGTGCTTCACAGCAAACTCCAAATGCTTTCCCCATTGAGCTATATAACCCTCTATGCTTGCCACATCATTGAATTCAGAGACCGATATCTCAAGATAATCCAAATTAAGTGCCTGCAAACTTGCCCGAACATTCAAACTCCGAACTTCAACATAAATGGAAAGGCACCTGTCAAACCTGTTATTTGCAATCAATCTCCCAAGAATAGCCTGCAGCTTCTGTATAACAGTCACTGGTAAAGGGGATGGGGCAATGCAGGCTTGCTCACCTGGCAGTGTCTGTGTGGACATTGGCAATGGAACACTGTTTTCTGTCAAAAGCCGTCGAAACTCATTCTCCAACCTGTCCAGAGCAACCTTAAGAAGTCCCCCATCAAGGTGACCCTTTTCCTCCCCCGCCTCTAATTCCCGAAGACACTCCAATGCTTTCTTCAAACCCGAAATAAACTTTTTATCTGCCACTTTATGATCCTCCAAGTACTCAACAATATCAGCTAACCATTGAATCGCCATTCCACAATTCTCCCCCAAGAATCTGGTTGCCTCCTGAAGGCGCTTGAGCACCCCAAGGTACCCAGGGAGATCTGATTGAGGATCAGATAAAGATTTCTCAAGTCCGTGAATGGCATCAAAAACCTTAAGAACTGCAGCCGCTGGGACCACAGCTCGATTTATATGACCCCCAACTGTAACAAGGGCATCCCTTTGAGCCCTTATTGGCCTGATCGAGACTTCCAAAGACGGCAATCTTTGGTTAATCTCATCTAATCCAGGTCCAGTTTTATCTAAAGATAACCCCAATGCCTTTGATTTCTCCACACTAGCTTTTAACAGCTTTCTTGCAGAAAGCAAATTTTCAAACCCTTTATCCATTAGAACAAATTAAATCATCAAAATAGTAATCCCACTTTTAATTTTCAAAATCTGACCATAAACGATTCAATACATAACATATAATATCTAAAGATTGAATCTTTTATGTGTCTAATTCTTACTTTTGCCCATTCTTTCAGGATATGAAAGATACTAAAACAAATCTGAGTTCTTGCAAAAAATGCACTTCCATTTATTTTCTCCCACAAACTTCCCCAAATCTCACCAAAAAGAGATATGACAAAAGCCCAAAATTTAAACAAAAATCAACCTGTCAAATCAACGCCATTTCATATAAAAAGGTTTTGAGAAAGAGAGAAGCTCACAGAGAATTCCAAGTAAAAATGAAGGGCACTTGAATCATAGATCGCGGCTGACTCTGTGAGTGAAATCGATTGAATCAGTGTGTGTCCACAAGAGGAGAGAGAATAATAAGAACCCTATGTCGGGAAGTGAAAAAGGAGAGCCTTTTGGTGAACAATTTTCGCTCAAGTCCAAGAATCGTGACAAAGTGCTTGACAGTAAAATGCTTTTCTCATTTGTTTTCTTCTTCTTTTTCTTTTCCGACTTCTTTCTTTAAGAAAATTATTAGCCGCTTTATTAGTTAAATCAAGAATCTTGTGAATCTTAATCGACAGGGAAGGTCGGCATTTGGCAATTCAATCCAACCACGTGCACCTAACGACAGCTTAATAATGACGAAACTTGTTTAGCAAACATGTATTTAAAAATTCGTTTAGAGATTGGCATAAAATAAATATAGTGAAAGGTTAAAAGTAGCACTGCACCAAAAATCGTGAAATCGCTAATCAAATCAAAATCGTTGAGTTGAGTTCACATGGATCTGTAATTTTTTTCCTTCGAACCGAACCAAACAGTTTCAAAATGATTTGGTTTATGTTTTAATTTTCAAAGACCTACAAAATCGAACTGAACTGTTTTAAATTTTTTTAATTAAAATATTAATTTTATTAACTTAAAATTTTACAGTTTTTTCTTTTCATAAAAAAAAAAACCAATTTAATAATACAAATTACTGTCAGTCTATTGAAATAATCTTAGAAAGTAAATTAGGTTTATCATTATTGACGTATGGTTTAACAAATTCATAACATATGTTCTCACCCAATATCTAAATTAAATTAAAATTATTCCAAAATCATATGAAATAAATAAATAAATAAATATATATATAAATTTTTTTTTTGGCGGTCCAAATTATAATTCAACGACACTACGTCAACAAATCAAGTCCAAAATTTCAGAAATCTTAACATAAACTCTCATTTCCCTAACATTTGATGCTTGTCTGCCATTACTGAATGAATTGCCAGTCACATTTACCTGTTAATCTGTTAATTTCTATCTAAATTACCTCTTTCTCTCTTCTAGTTCGGTAAGTCTTAAATTCTCATTCAAGCCATTTTTTCGTTATTCTTTCTTTTATTTGTTGGTTATGAACTTAAGATAGTTGTGGTTTGAATAGAAAAATAATTGTATATGTGCCTAGATGATTAATGAACTTGTTTATGATTTGAAATGAATGAAGGGCGGATCATATTGATTGTGTGAAAATATTAACGTTTCATAACTAGTACTACTATCTTTTACTTTCATAAAGTAGTTAGAAAATGAAATTCATCAATTTCCAATAAGTCGAAACTCTATCAATTTTTGTAAATATAAACATATCCCGTTCAATCCTTATTTAATATCTCATTAGCAAGATGAAATGAGTTTTAACCAAACTATAATAGCACAAGGCAACTCTATTTTTACCAATCGTTATATGATAATGCAAATGTCAAACAAGAAAAGGTAAATAAAAATGAAAAAAGCTATATTTGTTCTTTTAACATCTTTTAGCAACGAACTTTAAAAATAATTTATTAATGGGTTTCATGGTAAATATAATGTAATTTACCATTTAACATTATTAGTTCTCGTTTAAATTTATATATTAACTTATGTTAAATATATTACTATAATATCGATAGGTAAATCGTGGATTAAAATCGAACCAAACCTCAAATTATAATTTGGTTTAGTTCGAAAAAAAAATGATCTGAATTGATTTGGAAAAATTTTAAATCGCATAAAATGGTTTGAATTGAAAATATAACACAAACCGTTCAAATCGAATCGCATTCACCTCTAGTTAAAAGGTTAGTGAAATTTGAGTCGAGATAAAATCAATGGCAAAATGCTAAATCTCTGTTTGACTTGGATAAATATTAAAATTATAGTAGATTTTGATAAAATTATTGAATGTATGATTGAAAAAATGATAAAAAGTTATGGATTCTATAAAATGGACGGTTAAAAATGAGTATGAGGAAAAATAAATTTTAAGAAATGGGAGTTAAATGTGTGCTCAATTACGAAGAGAATCAATGGGTTATTTCAATTTAATTGTAAGAACAATAGTCAAGAAAAGGAAAATTGACCTTATTTTTCATGTTAAATTTCACTATTTTAGTTTTGGTTTGACAAAATTTATAAACAATTTATGAATTCTAATATTCGCAATTTATTTTTTCGCAGAAACCAAATAGTGACAAATGTCTCGTACCTTCCTTCCTTAAACTACACGTCCAACGAGTGCTAGGAATTATTGTCACGAAGATTATTTTAGTGTTAGAGCTATTCAACCGAGCATCTTTGGATTGAAGATTGCAACTATAATTCTTGTGAACTTCTTAAATCTAAATACCTATTAAAAGACAAGTTGTATGTATGCCTAGCAAACTAGAGGTTGGATTCATGGCACACTATACAAGATTATTGTGGACCAAGTTACAACATCCATTGTTGGAGATTAAATTATTCCATCCATCCCATTTATACAGACTTATTTTATTTTTCACACGGATTAAGAAATCTTATTATTGAAAAATCAATTTTTACCAAAACATTCATATTTTACCCTTATTTATATTTGTACAATTTCAAAATTAAGTGGAAAAACTTGGTTATAACTAGACAAATTAAAAAACATATATTGATAAACAAACAAAACAAAACATTCTTAATAAAGAACCAAGACTCTAAAATTGGGACAAGAAAATAAGAAAATGTAGCCTATATAAATGGGGTGAAGGAGTTATAAATTTTCTTATAAGATAGACTTAAGATATTCTAACTCATGAATTTTTGTAAGTATTAATCCTTGTTTTATAGGATTAAAATTAAAATTTTAATTTAAGTAAAAAATAATAATTAATTTTAATCACATATTTCTTGAATTCGCATATACTAAAATCTAATTTGCATCCTCACCAAACATGGATTAAGTGACGAAGAACGAAAATAGAGATAAAAAAAATTATATAAACCATTGTTTGGTGAAAATCAAAATTCAGATTTTAATTTAAATCAAAATTAACAATTAATTTTAACCATACGTTTTAATTTTATCAACTTTTATTAAGAATATTATTTTAATCCTACCCAACGGACTAAATATTTCTTACAGGATAAAGATACACGTCTAGGGCCACAGGTATTGGAGCATGGCCCTTTCTCATAAGAATTATACCAAAGGTATACAACCGTGTACCTAATGTACACTTGACGCTCGTATACCTAATGTACACTGGATGCCTCGGTATTGGCTAAGGCGCCTGTGGGCCCGGATATGGCAGGCGCCTCGGCATGTCCATTAGGTACACGACTGTGTACCACTAGCAAGATTGTTCTCATAAGTATCTAATGTCTAAAATAATTTAGATGAAACCAAACCCCCTCAACTATCTCTGAATTACAAAAGGTCTTTTTTCTTTAATTCTTTCCCACTTTGTCGGAATAATCACCAATGCCTGGAGCAGTGTTCTCCAGCATTGCGCCTTGTGTAGGCCCATGCTTTTAGTGCTGTTCCTGACTATAGGCTGAGTAGGCGATCGATCGTTTAAGGCCCTTATCGAAGTGAGGGCCCCGAAAAAATTATTATTTTTTATTTCACATATATTTTTACATATATATAAGGTCCCATATTTGAAATTGATTTAAAGTCCCTAAAATCTCAGGGCCATCCTTGCATGCTCCCCATTGCTTGTAAGGATCATCATCGCCGGATCATCTTTGCTCTCTCTGCTTGCTTTCTTGCTGCGCATCCTCTGACTTTTGACCATACTTTCCCGAATACTCATCCGGAGGTATATGTAGTTTTTGAGCTAATTGTGGATATTCTAATTGTATTCACTTGAGATTTTCTGCACAATATTTCTACATTGCCATTAACTTTTTATGCTAAACTAAACATGAATTTTAGACAAAGTATGTTACAATTTGTTTCATAATGATCACTGAATTCAATTCATAATATGAAGTAATTTATAATTAAGCATGAAATAAAAAGTGTTTAATATAAAGTAATTTTTGATTAATAAACTCAAATATTAGCTTTAATACATACGTCTTTTTGTAGTGGCACCTGCGGGCTGCCGCAACCGGGGGTTCTTAACGGATACATTATCGAAGGGTTCATGCTCATGAAATCTCTTCCTGGTGATTGGCAGCTTCCTAGAGGAGGCAAGCGGCGCCGACGGAATCAAGAACATAGATGGTTGAGCTCTACTCTTGTCGTTGGACACACTCCTCTCGCTTGTGATCGAAGAAACAAACGTCGACGACGACGAATTCCGAAACGTCGACAATTTCGTTGACATGCTGAAGGGATCCTTGAAAGGAGCGGGAACCACCATGCAATGCATCGTAAAATCAAGAGTCAATAGCAGCGCCGAGAACCCAGAAACCAGATTTTGATATAACCCAGAAGTCGAAGAGGGATGAGGGGCGCGACCAAAGCGGGCATGGTCGATTCGGTTGTGAATAGAAATGGAGTTTCTAAGCTTGGAAACATTAGAATCAGATATTTCTGTGTAGTCTAGCATCTGGTTATGGGGTTGGATCGTTTGGTGTTCTTGCAAGGCCATTTGCTCGTTTAAGCTGGCATAACTAAGAAACTCTATAGCCATTAATGATCCCAAGTCTTGTCAATCCCGAACTCGATCCATGAACCCGATCTCAATACCCCCTAAAACTATCAAAACAAGGTTGGGCATTTGAGTTCGGGGTATGTATGTCGACTCGCTAGCCCTTCTATACGATCTATGAGAACACTAATCCTACTTTGACCACAACCCTTACCCTTTTTTACTCCTTCTTCGACTCCAACAATGGTTGAATATTTGGAATGAAACACTAACTCATTATCCTATGAGGATAAGGATCACACATGGGTGAGTCCTCATAGGACTCTATCGTCAATGCCTATAAATACACAACCTGAGCTCATTCTTGAGGTACGTTTTTCATTATCTCTAGTTTATAGTCTCACGCACTAGATTTCCTATCTAACTTAAGAATCGGAGGGGCGACGAGCACACACCTCGTTGCCTTTATTTCAGGTATTCGAAGATCGTTCGTGTTCATCCAAGATTGAAGTTCGATCATCAAACTCGAGATTATTCAGGTACTATTTTTTGGAAGCATCAGCCATAATTCAAAGAAAAGATGTATATCAAGATTTAATATATTTGTGATCGCATCGGCGAGTAACCAATCCACGAGAAAAGA